GGTCCCGGCTCTGGTTTCGGCCGGCCGGGGCTCTGCGTGGCCGGGATCCCGCGCTGGGCCTGAGTCCCAGGCCAAGGCCAGCCCCTCACTGTCCTCACAGCTGCCACCCCCTCGCTTCGAGGACAGCCCCACCTCCGGACCCTCGACCTCAGGGTGCCACCCCTATCTCCCAGAGCAGCTTCAGGGACCCTCTTCAGGGACCCACGTCAAGGACCCGCCCCGTCCGCCTCAGGGACGGGCCCCCACTGCCCGGACCTGACCACCTCCCCAGCTGTGGGACCCTCACTTCACAGACCTTTCCCCCACCCCCATCGCACAGATAGAACACCCAACTTGGGGATCAGCTGCCTAATCTCACAGGCTGGGCCCTCAATTCCAGGATCCGCTCCCACCCCCTCGAGGACCACCCCTTCACAGACTGACATCCCCACTTCAGGGGTAGCCCCACCGAGCCGACGCCTTTCATTTTACAGGTCAGATTCACAAGTTAGAGATAAGCCTCTGATGACAGAGCCTCTGATGAGCTTCTGAGCTGTCACAAAGACAAGTTTCCCTCCTGTCCCACTGATCCCCCCAGTCCATTTCACTGACTGCCCTGGCCACTTTGTGGACCAGCCCCTCCCCTTTTATATCACAGATCACCCTTGTCCTAGAAGAGTAAGCTGGGGAGACAGACTCTGGTGAAATGCCAGAGGAATGAGGTGGGAAGTGGGCCCCAAGGTATGGCCATCTTTGAACTTGTCCAGGCTGGTAACGTTCCCTCCACCCCCGCCGCAGCATAACTTGCGGGAAGCCACGCAGGTAACGAAGTTAAGATGCCCAGAACAGAGTTTTACTGTTTTTGTTGTTAGTGGAGCTCCCAAATTACTCTTCTCAGTCCAGTCTTGATCTGGTGTTAGGGCAGGGGAAAGTATCTCCTGGAATCAGACACTAAACCCAGGGAGCTTGGTGCCAGGGTTCTAGGAATGCCTTGAGTGGTGTGAACGCCGGAGTGGGAGGATTCACTCTCCCTCCCTCCCCTTCTCGCCTGTAGCTGGAGGGCCTCTGAGCCGGGGAGTTGAGGAGGGGGGAAAAGTTTCTTCTCTGTAGGAGCCTTGTCTTCCCTCTATGGACTGTGGGTGGCTTGTGTGACCGCTGATGCTTTCTCTGTCTCAGGCTCTGAGGGGTGGATTCATCAGACAGGACTGATGGGCCTCCCCTGAGCACACAGGGCACTAAATTAAGACTGGCTATTTGTAGGCACTGAATTTCCAAGGGGACAGGGAGGAGGATTGGGACTTGACTGCTTCCCAGAGGCTTCCTTTTGGGATCAGGGTGCCTCCCCACCCCACTGACCCCGAGATCCTGAAGCTGGGTATGGTGTCCGGTCCTGCCTGTTTTGCAGAGTGAGATGGTTGCCAAGCATAGTTCTGCCTTTGGGTCTGGCTTGGCACCCATTTTTCCAACACACTCAAGGTTGGCATGGCTTTCAGGCAGGTATTTTTTTTTTTTCACATAAAAATAACTGAGCTGAAAGGAGTCTGGGGGGATATTTTTTCAATCAGAATCTGAAAGTCTCAATGCTTTCCCAGTGGGAATTTGCGAGCAGAGTTACTGTTTCTGAAACGCTGATGGGGGTTCTGTTGCTTCTAGACAGTCCCCTTGCTGTTTGAAGGACTGAGAAAGTCTTTTTAGAGTTCGCAGTTGAAGCCCGGAATTCCTGTCCTCTGACAGTCTTCCATTTAGGGCCAGGAAACTGAGTTCGTCTCTGAAAGGAAAGAGAGTGCCCTGGCAGAGTGGATTGTAGGAACTTAAATTTGCTGTTTGTGGAGTACTTCCCCATACCTCAACTCATCTTGTCCTCACAGCAGCCCTTTTTGAGAGCCCCTTAGGGCCACTGCTATCATTACTACCTGTCTTTTACAAATTGAGAAAACTGAGGCTGAGAAAGGTTGATTCACTTGCCAAGGGCTGCACAGCCACAGAATGACAAAATCATGGCTATAAGGGGTATGGCTGCCACTTGTAACTTCTGCTGCTTTCCACCATAGGCTCCTCAGTTGTCTGAATCTGGGCTGCCCAGCTTCCTTGGCCTAAGCTCCCAGGGGGCCAGCCATGCCTGGCTGGGCGGAGCCTGGGGTGGGAGGAATGGGCTGTGCTGGAGGAGAGAGGAATTTGCCTCTGCGCTCAGGCCCCATCAGCTGTCTGGATGGCTGCTCAGCACCCTGCCCGTCAGCTGTTTTCCTAGTTAGGCTGGACACATAGGCCAGGCCTCTTGTTTTTATTTTTCTCCTGAGAATGCTCTCAGCTGTGAGCCTCTTGGTCCCTGAAACAGGGGCGTTTGACATGTAGCAAGTCTAGAGGGGTCAGAGTCTCTGCTGTGACTTTTTTTGGTCTTAAAAAAAATTGGGGAACTCTCCCCTTCCTGTAGCTGTTAGTGACAAACTCACCGTGTGTTGTTTAATAAGTTACAAATTTATAGCTCTCTGGGCAGAAAAACATAAACACAGCATGTCCTGCCCTTCCGTGTGTGTTCTCTCTGCTTTGTGCTGCGGGGTGGCTGCTGGTGGCTTTTCTCATTACTGTTTAGATGCTGGTTTGGCTGGGAGTTCTCCCTGTTCGAGTTCTGGCTGGAGTTTCCTGGACAGAGTTCTCATAACACTGAGATGCACTCTGATTATGTTTTCGGACCTGACTCCTCTCTCTCCCCTCCTTTATGTGTCTAGTGCACTTTGGGGTGGGGGGTAGGGACAGTGACCATAGCTGGGGGCTAATAATGATCACGTGCGCTTGATGGGAGCCAGGCATCCTACTCAGCATTCCTTGGTATCATCCCAGCCATTCCGAGAGGGAGGTGTTTAATCTCCGCTTTACAGATGCAGAAATCTGAGTCAGGGAAATTCAGTGGGGGGCGCTGGGATTGTAACCCAGATTGATCCAATTCCAGATTTGGTCATCTTCATCATAATAAGGTAGTAAGTGCTCGGTAATTAACCAGGGGGATGAGCCATGGGGCCTCCTGAGTAATTGCTAGGTACCTTTTACATTTCTGCCCTGGGGGCTGTCCCATATGGTCATGGTGGCAAAGGGTGGTCTGGTTCAGGCCTTGATAGCTTTGCCTTTCCCATCCCTTGCAGGGGGAATAGCCAGCTGTTGGCAATGCCCAGTTGCTGCTGGAATCTGGACCTGTCTTCGTGCAGCTTCTCAGCAGTCTTGACCCTCTGGAACACAGTGCCTCATTGTCCTTGGGGGGAGTACTGGGGAGCAGGGGAGTTGCCTGGGGCATTCTGGGCTATGGAGCCTCTCTGTTCCATGGGAAGTCTGGACTTTGGGCTCACCCATCTGTGGTGCCTCTGTGTGTTAGGCTAGGGTCAGGGCACCCAGCTGCTGGGCCTGTGACAGGCGCGGCCCGTGGGGTGATGGTTAGTTCCTAGTGGGGTTCTGCGTCAGGGCCAGATCTTCTCCGGGGCTGTGTGCTAGTGAGGTGCAGAGCTGGAATTCAGACCCTGGAGTGCTGGATTCTTAAGCAGGTGCCCTTTCTGCTGGGCAGCCATAGCTTAGTGTGGAAATGTTCAGGCCGCTGGGGGCCAGAGCCCTGCCACTGTGGGTTTGAAGTCCCCCGAGGGAACATCTCAGTATTCTTTTCTTCCAGTTTCCCCAGGGGTGGCTGTGCATTGGCCAGTGGAAGGCCAGATTAACTGTGGATGTGCTGACCAGCCCTCCTCCCCCATTTATTCATCATTCCTGAGTGTGCCGACTCT